CTGGGTCAGTTCTGCTTTATGCTTCTCCTGGCGTAAGTCAAGTCAATATCTGCTTCCTTCCTTTTTTTTTTTTTTACTCCCTCGCATTCTTAAGACATTCTTTCACTCTAGAAAGTAATTGGAATATTAACTCTAGAACAAATATTTTGAGCCAACATATTCTACGTATTTGTGTGCTCAATAGAGCACAGGTGTCCAGCAGAGCCATTTTTCTATCCTGTCAACAGGGCTGACAGTGACTAGTTTGGCAGGGCCCCTAAATAGCATTCGTGACTGGGGCGGGATGCAGCTGGATGCACGAGGAACCCAGCCACACAATACATGTCCCCTGACACCTATCACTCTGGGTTCTTGTTCCCATTCAGAACAGAACCAGTGAATGGGGTACTTGTCATTTGAGTTTGAAAGTCAATGGACAAGATTCTCTAAATATGGAAGGTACTCCTACTGATTCTTTAGATCCTTAGATTTTCCTAAATATTTCAAAGCTAGGCGGTAGATAGTTCTTTGGAAAAATCTAGTTAACTTTCTGTTGTGATATGTGATCGTAAAGTAGGTGAATATGAAAGAACCACTGTATTTCAAGTTTGCAGTTATTGATGTTTTGTGGACTATTTAAAATATAAGATTTTTAAAAATTATATAGAGCCAATAGAAAAAGTTGTACAATATAAATCTCACATGTTCTCAGATTTATAGTTATAGCTCTTTTTTATGGGTAACTTTTTTTTTTTTACATCTTCAAAAGAAACCTTAATAATGCATTAAAAAAGAAAAAAAACAAAACAAAAAAACCCCCTGTGTCACTACCAAGCCTTTGGATGATTACCCACCCTATGATACTTCTTTCATCCAAGCTGGTTTATAAAGGAAAGCAAAAACGACAATAAAAGAAATGTACCAATTTATTCTCTACTAATAAAGTATTGAACATTAGTGAAAAAAGTGTGAAATATTGGAATGCAACACAGAGCAATTCCATTACCCATTGCAGTTTTGGGTCATATACTGTATATAAAGAGTAATTACTTCATTGGTTGGGGACCACAGTGGAGGAATATAGGATTTGATGAAAGAGATTTTAAATAAAAATTTTATCCCAAAGCATTTGCTTTTCAAAACAACATTACAGACCATCTTATTTTGGTTTTGGGTGTTTGGGGGTGAGGGGCTGGGTAGTGGTGTGGAAGTACAAAAGAAATAGAAAATTAAGAGTGAGCAAATTTTTAAAACTCTTTAGCCAGTAATTATGTATCATCAGCACATAAGATTTTAAAGTACTACTAAAAGTAGTTTTTGTAGATGCCTTCAGTGACACATCTTACTAATGAAGCTCCTGTATTTAATATTCACACACTGCCTTATTGACATTACATCTGGTGGTTTCTAACACATCTTTCACTTCCTACTGTTGAGTCAAGTTTCTGGATTTTATTATCTTGCTGATCGTGGTGCCTACAGGGTAAGTTTCTAAATGTTTTCAAGTCTTTTGTTCTTATTTATCACACAGGGATTCTGGGTAGGAACGGAAAGCTTCCTGGGTAGGACGGTAAGGTAACGTGGTATATTATGGAGAGAACAGACCTCGAGTTGGCCTGTCAAAGTCCTAACCTGTCACTTTTCTTGGATCCTTCATTTCTTCTTCTGTAGAGTCCTGAAAAATAACTACATTGTCGGATGGTTGTGAAGACCAAATAAGCCATGTGAAAAGCATGTTAAAATGCTTAGTGTCTGTTTATATTCTGCTGCTTTCTAAAAATAATTTTAAATAGGTACAAAAATCCAAAAAATACAAAAATCAAGAAAGAAATAGATAAACCACCTAATATGATCAATGAATACCAATTCCTTTATTTCTTCTACTCAAGTTCCTTCAATAATGATATTGGAGAAAATCAGGGAAATAATCTGGTTACAAAAGTGAAATATGTTAATTGCAAAGAATTATTAATATTATAGGAAGGTATGAAGAAGAAAATAAACTTCCATTACCTTTAATATTTTGACACATTTTCTTCATTTTTATTCTAGCCTACCCATTTCAAAAAACAGTTAGGAGTATACTCCATCTCACGTTTACCGCCCCCCAACCCCAGTTTCTATTAGATCATAAGCATTTTTGCTGTCATTAATTATTCTCTTTAAATAATATTTTGTAATTTCATAATAGTAGATCAGTTGTATATACCATAATTAATTCCACCCAACATGTCAGTGATTTTTTTTGTTATTATAAACAAAACTGCAATGATAGTTTTTTTCAGATGTTTATTGAATATATTGGAAATCCCATCCCTTGATTTGTCATATGTGTTGCAGATTTTTTCCCATCACCCTTATAAATTAATAAGAATTTTTGACATCATAAGTTTTAATTTTTTTTATTTTTTAAGGATTTTTTTATTTATTTGACAGAGAGAAACTCAGCAAAAAGAGGGAACACAAGCAGGGGGAGTGGGAGAGGGAGAAGCAGGCCTCCCACCGAGCAGAGAGCCTGATGCGGGGCTCGATCCCAGGACCCTGGGATCATGACCAGAGCCGAAGGCAGACGCTTAACAACTTAACAACACCCAGGCGCCCCATAAGTTTTTTATTTTATGTAACTCCTGCTATCGTTTTTTTTTTCCTTTGTGACTTCCTTCACTTTTTGCATGTTTAAAAAGTTATTTCCTATTCCAAGGTCACTAAATAACTTACCTATATTTTCTTCTGTTTTTATAATTCACCTTTAGCTTTTTGCTTTTTAATTAACCTAAAATGTATTTGGGACTATCTATTTAAGGTAGATCTGAGGTAGAATTGGGCTACCTCAAGTAGACTTGAGAGTCTATTTAGGTAGGATTTAACATAGTTTTCTGCAAATAGTTAACACAAGTACCCAGTAACATACTACGTTCATCTGCATGGTGGATTTATGATGGTGCTTTATCATAAAACAATCTCTCTTTTAGTGTTCATCTTTCATATTTTAATGACTTAGATATCTGGTACAATAAATGCTTTCTCATTATTTCTGTTTTGCAAAAATTTCTTGGCTATAGCATTCAATTTATTTTTCCAAACAAATTTATCAAATTCTCCCCATTTCACTGCACTCCAAGCACATTAGGATTTCCTTGAAAATGCATTAAACCTATATGTTCAACAGAAAAAAAGAATAGATTCTTTTAATAATCAGTGTTCCAGTGCAAAAACACCGTATCTCTATTTTCTTAATGTAGATTCTGTACATTTCTTATTAAGGTTATGCCTAAGTGATTATAGATTTTATTGCCATTGTGAAAAATCTTTTTTTTCACATGATCATTTCAAACTGGTAAGACATTATTCTCAATGAATTTTGATTGTGTAACCAGCCTTCTTCGATTCCAGCTTGATTTATTCTGTATGCAGAAAAATATTTGTTAAGAGCACTTTACTTCATAAGACATCAATGAATTTAGCCGATGCTCGAGAGAGAAAACACTGAAGGCCATGGAGATGATTAGAACAAACCAGCTTTGTAATTAGGAAACAGCAGAAGGAGCCACTGGATATCCTTTTTTTTCCCCTAAAGTGTAAAACTGCATAGGTGGAATTAATACACTTTTTGTTTTATTGCTGGGGAGGGAAAAAAGACAAGCAATTGATGCATTCTGTAATGACAAGTGAAGGGTGACTTTTGGAGACAGCGGGGACCCTGAGAGTACGTAATTGTTCCGTATACCTTGAACCTTATGCATCTCAAGTACCTCATCGTCTGACAGTCCAACTTGGTACAAGCAAGATGAATATTGTAGACAATTGTCTCCCATGGGAATTGTATGTAAAATGAAGGCTCTGAGTAACTTCTACCTAAAGATGCTGTTTAAAACTGGCCTCTGTGTCTTCAGTCCCACTGTACCCTGTTGTTCTGGGACGCTGCACGTACACCGGCCACTCACTTGCCCTCAGTTTCGAAGGTGGCAGGATGCCACGCCCAGCCACGCGCACAGTGCAAAGTGCTTTCGACTTTTCTGAAGTGAAAGGCAGTATGTAAATGTGCAACATGACGACATTATTATTCCAGCTTTCTGGCTGCTTTCAGCAAGCACTGACTGCCACATGAGGTCTCAAGTGTTCTGGCACAGTGTGGAAGTGTTCAAAAGAAGTTAAAGTAATGAAATTGGATCTACATTTCCATAGATCTTCAAGCTGGCATGGAGGAATGGAGTCATGGAATCAGGGTTGGATGGTCTCCACCAAACAGCCTAGGCAAGGGCCTGTGATGCCAGGCTACTAAGCAGAAATTTCAATCGTGAAAGGCCACCACTATTTCTTCCTCTGGGTCTAAAATTACAAAATGTGCACATTTCCCTCAGGCTCGCACCATTCTCTGGGTGCTTTATACTCAATCCCACCCACCCATTCCCTGGAGCACACCAGCTTTGCTTAAATCCAGGACAAGTTTTAAAATGAAGAACTAAGTACCAAGGGAGAAAAATGTTTAGTTAGAACCCTGAAATAGCATCTGCTATTGTATCAAGTATGGGACTGCTACACTTCGGAGGTGGGCCTGGCTCACCTTGTATCTGATCTTCCTAAGCTACTTACTTAGGAAGTGTCTATTTAACGGATTTCAGTTGATCTTCTCCCCCCCCCCCCCCCAGTTTTCATTGCTCACAGGTCTTCCAGATTTGGACATTCTGAGACCTGCCCTCTCTCCTACACCTTTGCATGCTTCCCCTCCCCCCAACTCTGGCTAAAGTGTCTCTGTTCATCAGGGCAAGATCGACAGAATCTGAGTCTGGCGCTTTGCCACCACCTTTCTATTGGCATAGGTCCACGATGCTGGGTGTCCTTCCTCCTCCATCTCCCTTTATATCCGGAAATTTTCATGGGCTCCAAGCATCCATTTATGTATGTACAAAGATGAAGTTTATTTACGTTTAAAAATGTGAGAGGGACAATTCAAAGAATTCAAGCACTGAAGAATACCTTTACTCACACAGAATCTCTCTTTTTTCTTAATTGTATTTTAGGACAGTGAAAAAAAGGGATTTATAAATAAAATCTATGCCATCCAGGAGGTTTGTATCAGTGTCCAGAACATCCTAGATGAAGTGGCTTCCTTTGGCGAAAGGATAAAGAAGTGAGTGAGTGATACTGACATGTGAGCCCTGGCCTTCTGTGGGACAGAGTGTCCATTTGTTTTTCAGAGGGTGAAATGCCACATTCTTTTTGGCAGGGGAGACTCCTTCTGGGTGATCTATTGCTCAGTTTCTTCATTATTTACTTTGTTTCTGCCAGTCTTTGGTTTTGTGAAAGTTCTGTCAATTTCCTTCCTGAAATTTAGAACATATTGGTTGGAAAGAAGTCCTACTTGTAGCTTTGAAGAAATAACACCGTCCTAAATTTTAGCACATTTTCAAGTGAAAGACTTTGTTCTTAAATGGAATATGAAATCGTGATAGGAAAAAAATAAACCAAGCTAGATGAGAATTTCAGGTAATCAAGACACATCTTCATTTTATTATTGGTTGACTTATACTGTCATTGAGGAACTCTAAAATTTTTTAAAAAATCATATTTTATGTAGCAACCTGCAAAAATATTTTCAAATTTATGTATTTAAATAGTTGAGGTCATAGTTACAGATGAACTAAACTAATGCACTTTTAATAATTTAAAAAAAGGAATCCCTTTCCTAATTTAAAATATAGTTTCATTGAAAGCTAATATAAATTAAGAATACAAGAATATTCTTAAGAATATTCTTTTTTTATTACGTAATGTTAATCACCATACATTACATCATTAGTTTTTGAAGTCGTGTTCCATGATTCATTGTTTGCATATAACACCCAGTGCTCCATGCAGTACGTGCCCTCCTCAATACCCATCACCCTCCCCTCTAGAGTATTCTTAATATAAGAATATTATTATAGTCTTACATTATTTGTATTTTACTTGAAATAATTTTATTTACTAATGAACTTTTAAAAACAACTGTAATTCAATAAGGTGGATTCACAAGTATTGATGATCAGTTAAAAATATACTGAAGCCCCATACTACTAAAGTATGTGAAAATTTGCTACATAATGATTGCTAAGTCGTCTATTCAAGAAGGGGTGCTGTATATCCGGATAAGCCTACACCTTCCTAGTGTCATGTATCAATTCATTGTTTATTATTTATCTTATTATTCACCAAAAGTGTTCCACAGATTTGAATCCTTGGGCATACACATTTGAAAGCAGTAAATTATTTAAACTAAAGGTGTGAGACATTTACCTACTGCTTTTCATGTTTCAGGGAATAATGCATTTTACTTTGTATAATTTTTTAATACATTTCCACATATGCATACATGCTGAGTTTCCATTTTTTTTTTATATATCATATTAGATAGAACAGCCTCCCTCTCACTCCAAATGTATAGCAGCCTTCAGTCTCAGACTTCTGAAGACTGATTCCTACATCTTTTTTCTTCTTCCTCGCCACGTTATTTCCATTTCTAAGAATGTTCCTTTGTTCCACTAGAGCCAAGTGTTTAGTCCTGAACAGGGCATTTCCCTTTTGAGTGTGTCCTTTCTCTGAGGTACACTGTGTGTTGATACCTGATAGAAGTATCTCATTTACACCATTAAGACGCTGGGTCAGCTCTGAGGTGGGGCAAATTTATGCCTGAGAGGAAGAAGCTTCTTTGTAACTCTGGGTGGTAGGGGACCTCAGGTGCTTGGCCAGAAAACATCATAGCCAGTTGAAGAATATGGCCAGATCCTGGCTGTGGACCAGCCTTGGGAAAAACTGAGTTTTGTAGAACTTTCCACAGTTAAGAGACAGAGGCATAGGTATAGGATGAAGTACAGAAATATGCATAGGTTCCAGTGATTCTTACAGGAGCCATCTTTTCTGCACAATTTTTCTGAATATTTAAAATACAGAAAGTCCCCTGGGGTTGCATGAGATAAAATGCATCTATCCAGAAAGCAGATTCAGAAGCAGTCATTAAGTACAAAGTGAAAAGCCTCTATAATTACATCTTGTTACTAAGTAATCATTCCAGAACTTTCTTGAATTGCATCTTTTTTGGGGGAAGATCATAGTCTAGATTTAGTTTTCCTGATGCACTGTGGAAAGAGAAAAGGGCAGTCTTTTTTTTTCTGACATTAGCTACACTGATAAGGATTCCTTGCCACTTATCCTTCCAAGAGGAGAAAGAACACAGGGAGCCCTTCAGGGAGGCTGCCCAAAAAAAGGGTTTTCTGACTGACGAGCCAGTGCCCTTGCACACTGAAGAGTGTTGATGGATGGCTCTGAGCGAAGCCCCAGGAAAGCAAGCAGACAGACCCTCAGCCTTCTGTTCTCTTCACAGTGTCAGTGAAGGGAGAAAGGCATGATCCTTCCCCAGGTGACAGTTAAACAGGGCGCTCACTCTGGCCATGGGAGGAAAAAGACAAAGAGAAAAGCTAGTTCCCAAGAGTTACTGAAAACAAGACAACGAGACTGATCTAATTTTGGCTCTTTTACTAGGAAAAACAGTTTTAGAAAACACTGGACCTTAAGCAGACACAAAAGGCACGCTATATGCCCACAGAGCTAAGGATTCACTCCTAGGTGTTATGCTGAAGGGAAAGATAGGAAGAAAATCTTCTAATCCTCCTTTACTGGATCAAAAACGGCCCTGGACAAACCCCACCCCAGGTGTACATAACATATATAACCAGGAAATGAGAGAAAATTAAAAAATCCACATTTCTCCATGTCACGTATAATTTCATATTTTTGGGAGGTGTTTTGGGGGCCCTTGTCACCGTGGTAGGCTCCCCGAGAGTGGACTAGCTCTAAAAATGTCACTTTGATTCACATGTTACCATCACTACCAGTCCACCTCGATACAAGTTGTCCTCATTTTTAAACGGGGAAGTTGAGGTATAGAAAGGTTGATTCCCCCAAAGTCCTACGGCAGAATCTAGGCTTCGAATGCAGATCGGATACTTTCTTTGCTCTTTTCATTAAACTGCACTCAAGTGTCACTCAACAGTATGTGTTAGGTCCTCCTTAGAGGCTGGTTGTTGAGGCAACTGGATGCCTGTAAACGGTGACATAGTTACATGCCCAACGCTGAAGACTCCATGCAACAGTTCGGGCTTCCTATTTTGCAATGAGAGTCACTACAGAATTTCCACACAAAAACTCCTAAATTATTACAATCTTTGCATGTTCCATTTCCCTGATTTTCTACATCCTTTTTTTTTTTACCTTTTCTTTTTTTTTCTTTTTGCCCCACTACATTCCTTCCCATCTTCTTAGTCCTGTCTTTTTTGCAACTTCCCCCACTTCTGTTCATCGATCCTGTTTTTGTTCTTTGTTCTGATGTTACCTCACTGCCAACGCGCAGTCTTGCAGCCTTCCCCGACCCCCGACACTATCCATCAACAGCAGTGTGGGGACACTGCAGTCCCATCGGCCAGGCCCCGCTATAACCCACTTTGCCAGCTTACGCTCCATTTTCACAGTCTTTCCAGCACATTTACCATGTGTTCTCCTTTGCCAGAAATAACACAGGGAGAACAGTAGTCAATACTGACTTTCTTTCCTAATTATCTCTGTATTTCTGGGAAGGGCAATGATGGCAGGTGAATTTTTACAAGGCTGACTACTCTGTTCCCCCTTCCTGACTTCTAGATCCATTGGAAACATAACTGAAGTGAAAAGGGAGTATCCCTCAAAGCAATTCTAACCTAGGGAGGATTTATACAACAGTGTAAGAGTTAAGTCTACAGACAGTTGCTGACATTTTATTTCCAGTGTCTGGAATCCAGTGTGAGTTGACAGAAGAAAGAATGGTAGGCCCAGGGGCATTCTCCTCTATGAAAATTGGGAGAAAACAAGATTGGCTACTAGTTTTAGAGGTAGAAAAACACATTAAAAAAAATTTTTTTTTAACCACATAAGGAGTCCCCCAACTAGTGCAACTTCAGACCCTGAAGGCACTCGGGACCATCTGTAAGGGTTGATGGCAAGACTTGTTTGCGTGGGCCCTGCTTTCATGAAACTCAGCACATTGTGACCAACCTGTGTCCTCTGATAGGCTCACTACAATCGCCTTCTGTTCCAGAGAGAAATGCAGTCTTACCAGATCCCTAGTCCAGAGGCTGAGTCAGAATCACATTTATTTGAACCTTTGTTTGAAAAAAGTATGAAGTGCTCAGATTGCTGATGTGTTAATTTCTCATTCAGTACTTTCAACTGGACTGTCCCATTCTTAAGCTGGCTGGCCATTGTAGCCCTCTGTGTGTTCACAGTCATCCTGTACTTCATTCCACTGAGATACATTGTCCTTGTCTGGGGTAAGTAAAGCCTTTTTTTTTTTTTTTTTTAACTGTCTTTTTTATATTTGAGAGAGAGAGAATGAGACAGAGGGCAGAACTCCAGCGCTAGGGGAATACTGCACATAGAATTCATGGCTTTTTTACCATGATTCTTTAGTCTTTAAAATTTTTTTTTTTTTAACTGTCTTAGATACTAGGAACAAACTATTTCTAAGCGATGAGTTATACTGTCAGAAGTTCCTTGTATTTATGATCATGAAGCTACTCCATGATGAAAAGAGACAGGTCAGTTAAAAATCACAACAGTATAAAGATTTAGGTCTACCTACAAAATACATTTTTCTTATCTGGCACCATAGGCTCCATCATCCTGTAAACATGTAGTTGTGCAGATTCTTCATATATCAAAGTGTAGCTTTGTCCAGATATCATTCTGATTTATTTTCACCACTTATACGTAAACAGAGGCATTTTGATCCATATGGTGCATTTAGGACAATATGCTTTTTTGTGCTGTGGTACTTTATCTTGTGGAAACGTCTGTAAGCACAGGGCTATCTATGGCCGCCTATTTAAGAGGTCACCTTTGGGATGCAGGAAAGGGCTCCTTGGCCCTGACAGGCTGTTTACGAATAAGAAACCGGCTTCATGTGTACTAAACAAAAGTGCTTCTGCAAAAACCCACTTTAAGGGTGGTATTTTCCAGCCCTTGTTTTTGATGCCGTTATGCTCCATGCCAAGAGTTCCTACGGCCCTAGACTCCACTTAGATGATAGTTTCAGCATTCTTCATTGTTTTAGGGTTTCTATTCCTTAGCTGAGAGAATTCATGCTCTGAAAAAAACGGTCAGTCTCTACAATGGACTCACATATAAAACTACATTAATGATATATATAAACAAGACTGGGGAGAAGTAGGATTCTCTACTTGGCCCCCCCAAGCCTGCACACACCTAAGATTGCTAAACATATACAAAATGCAAAGAATCAAAATGGGTATGGATTCCAGAAAACACATGTTTACACTAAAAGCAAAAAGATCAAAAAGAATGTTTTATTTTCTTTTTAAAGAAATGCTGGAATAAGTGACAGAGGGGTCTGAGGTCCCCACACCCTTCAGTTTTAAGATTCCTATCTCCCTATTCTTTTTGGTCTGTCTTGTCATATCCTGAGTTAAGCCCTCTTACCCTTTATTGTCACTCTGCTTACCTTTACAGCTTGGGTAGGGAGGAGAGGATGGGGGGAATGATGATGATTTTTTCCCTTGTTATAATTTAAACCAGTTTCAAATAAGATAGTACTTGCACTACACAGGGAGAGAGACCTTTCTTCCCTCTGTTCAAGCCCTCATCTTTCCTTCCTTCCTTTGATATATAAAACAGATGCTGTTTTCTTGAAGGAATTAGGGTAGGGCGTGCGGTGTGGCAGTTTATTATCTCTAACCTTCCTAGGGTCAGATCTGCCATCTCGGTTGTGATAGGTGGTGAACCTCTGGTTTTGCTTCCCCGCGCTCTCAGAAACTGGAGCCCATGGCGGACATCTGGCTCAGTAACCTGGGGCAGCCTCACTGGCTCTGTCTTAAACGTAATTCTTAGAGAATGTGTTTGGGCCTCTTGTTTCATCATATGAAATAAAAGGAGAACAGTATTTCTGTAGTGCTAGGTGATTGCTGAAATATTAACTGGAAATTTAAGACATGGGTCTCACATGGGGAGACGGACCAAAATCAAGAATGCAAAATAAGTTTATTCTGCCGAACTTCCTGAAGAAGAGCCAAGATGCTCTAAGTTATGGCCCAGTTTTTACGAGTTTGTTGATTTCATATAAAGCTGTTAATTTATTTTGTATATGTGAATATGCTTGGTCATTTATTAAGTGCAATATAAATTTCAAAGAGTAGACTTATCCCATTGAAATTCTACCTTATATCACAGAATATATAGAATAGGTACTTGTAGTTTTATACATTGTTTTGACAGTTCTATCTCATTGAAGTTTTTGTTTCTATAATAGCTCCAACTTCACCTAAGTTTACTCCTCAACCACGTTTGCTCTTCAGGTAGTATAGAGGATTAACTGTTGAAAAATTTCGTATGGGTAGATATGGCTCATCTGTAATGGTTCTTGGCTGTTCTATTCCAAAAGTGATCCAAGTAAGTCAATCACAGCATCTTTTGCAAGCATTAAATTTAAATTTTGTGTAATTTGAAAGGAAAATTGCTTCCTGAAAATCTCAATGCCAGAGATGTAGAAACAGAAACATTTCCCCCCCTCCCCCGCCATGGTGAGCACTCTTAAGATCTACTCTTTTAGCAACTTTCAGATATGCAATGCAGTATTATTAACTATAGTCATCATGCTGTACATTATATCCCCATCACTTATTTTGTAACTGAAAATGTGTAGCCCTTCACCCATTTCACCCATCCTCCCACCTCCAGCCTCTGGTAACTACCAATCTGGATCTATGAGCTTGGCTTATTATTATTATTTTTTTTAATGCCACACACAGGTAAGGTCTTATAGGGTGTTTGCCTTAGACTCATTTCACTTAGCATAATGCTCTCAAGGCCCACCTGTGTTGTTGCAAATGGCAAGATTTCCTTGATTTTTATGGTTAATAGTCTACTGTGTATATATATATCCTATTTCCTTTACCCACTCATGTGTCAGTGGACGCTGAGGTTGTTTCCGTGTCTTGGCTATTATAAACAGTGCTGCAATAAGCATGTGCCAGGTGGGTGTTATTTATATTTTGAGTTCATGTTTTTGTTTTCTTTGGATAAATATCCATAAGTGGAATTGCAGGAACATAGGGCAGTCCCATTTTTCTTTTTGTCAGGACTACCCATTCTGTTTCTCATAGTGCACCAGCTTACATTTCCACCAACAGTGAATGAGGGTTTCCATTTCTCCACATGCCTGCCAACACTTGTTATTCCTTGTCTTTTTGATAATAGCCATTCTAACAGGTGTGAGGTGATATCTCAAGGTGTTTTTGATTTGCAGTTCCCTGATAATTAGTGATGTTGAGCATCTTTTCACATCCTAGTTGGTCATCTGTAGGTCTTTTTTGGAGAAATGTCTGTTCAGATCCTCTGCCTATTTTTTTTAAGTGGATTGTGTTTTTGTTTTTGCTATTGAGTTGTATTAGTTCTTTAAATATTTTGGATATTAGTCCCATAGCAGAGATAAGATTTGCAAATATCTTCTCCCATTCAGTAGGTTGCTTTTTCATTTTATTGATGGTTTCCTTTGCTGTGCAGAAGCTTTTTAGTATGATGTAGTCTTGTTTATTTTTACTTTAATTGTTTTGCTTTTTGGGGTCAAATCTGAAACATTGCCAAGACCGATGTCAAGGAGCTTACTGCCTTTATTTTCCTCTTGGAGTTTTATGGCTTCTGGTCTTATATTCAAATCTCTAATCCATTTTGAATTAATTTTTGTATATAAGATAGTAGTCCACTTTCATTCTTTTACATGTGGTTACCTAGTCTACCATTTATGAGACTGTCCTTCCTCCATTGTATATTCTTATTTTGTCATAAACTTATTGATTATATACGTGTGGGTTTACTTCCACACTTTCTATTCTGTTCCATTGATCCACGTGTCTGTTTTTATGCCAGTATCATACTGTGATATCAGGGAGTGTGATGCCTCCAGCTTTGTAGTTCTTTCTTAAGATTGCTTTGCCTATTTGGGGTCTTTTGTGGTTCCATACAAATTTTAGGTTTGTTTGTTCTACTTCTGTGAAAAATGCCATTGAAATTTTGATAAGGATTTTATTGAATCTATAGATTACTTTTGGGTAATATGAACATTTTAACACTATTCTTCCTATCCATGAATATGGACTATTTTTCCATTTATGTGTGTTGTCTTCAATTTCTTTCATTAATGTCTTAACAGTTTTCAGTGTACAGGTCTTTCACTTCCTTTATTAAATTTATTTGTAGGTATTTTATTCTTTTTGATGTGATTGTGAATGGGATTGTTCTTAATTTCTTTCTGATCATTCATTATTAGTGTATAGAAACCAAACAATTTGTTATTGATTTTGTATCCTTGGTTTGCAAACTGGCCCCCATACACAAAGTGCATAGACTGAAGAAAGAGGGAGGCCATTTCAGACTGGTAGGTGGTAGATTTAATATACAGGGGAACTCACTTACAAGGCTTGTCTTGGGTGGCTATAGGCAAGTAAATCTCCACCCCTGCCCACCAGAATCTTAAAAGTTTACATGGAGGAATTAACTGGGCTCAGTCCCATATACTGTTCAGATGGTCTTAATAACATCTTACTCTTTCAAGGCTACATCCTTGGAGCAGTTCCCACTGTGGGTACAGTGGGCAGAATGTACATTTCAAAAACCAAAGGGTGAGAAGCTGCCAGAGTTCAGCAACCAGGTCAACCATAGGTCATACCCTCTCCTAGCCTCTCCATTACCTTTTCGCCAAAATCCTGCAGCTTCATTGAATTCACTTATTAGTTCCTTTTTATTTTTTTTTGGTGGAATCTTTAGAGTTTTCTATATATAACATGATGTCATTTGCACATATTGCATTTTTTCTTTCCAATTTGGGTGTTTTTATTTCTTTTTCTTGCCTGATTGCTCTGGCTAGGACTTCCAATACTCTGTTGAATAAAAATGGTGAGAGTGAACATTCTTGTCTTGTTCCTGAACTTATGTTAAAAGCTTTTAGCTTTTCACCATTGATTATGATGTTAGCTATGGGTTGTCATATATGGCCTTTATTATATTGAGTTACGTTCCCTCTACATCTACTTTGTGGAGAGTTTTTATCATCAATGGATGTTGAATTTTGTCAGATGCTTTTCTGCATCTATTGAGATGATCATCTGATTTTTATCCTTCATTTTCTTAACATGGTTTATCACACTAATTTGCAGATGTTGTACCAACCTTGCATCCCTGGAATAAATCCAAATTGTGGTGAATGAGATTTTTAATTGTTCAACGCAGTTTACTAATATTTTGTTGAGGATTTTTCATCTCTGTTCATCAGAGATATTGGCCTATATTTCCTTTTTGTGTGTGTGGTGTCCTTGTCTAGTTTTGGAAACAGAGAAATGCTCATAAAATGAGTTTGGAAGTGTTCCCTCCTCTTCTAGTTTTTGGAAGAGTAAGAAAAATTGCTATTCTTTGAGTGTTTGGTAGAATTCACCAGTGAAGCTCTCTGGTCCTGTTTGTTGGGAGGTTTTTGATTACTGATTCAGCTGCCTTCCTAGTAATCAGTCTGAATAGAAATTTTCTATTTCTTCGTGATTCAGTCTTAGAAGACTGTATGTACCTAGTAACTTACCCATTTCTTAGGTTTCCATTTGTTGGTGTGTAATTGTTCATACTAGTCTCAGGATCCTTTATACTTCTGTGGTTCAGGTTTAACATATTCTCTTTCAGTTCTGATCTTATTTGGATCTTTTTTTCTTGGCAAGTCTAGCTAAAGGTTTGCCATTTTACTCATCTTTTCAAAGAATCAGCTTGAAACTTTATTATTCCCTTTCTTCTATAACTTTTTATATTAAGGTAGGCATTTATTGTTATAAACTTACCTCAGAGAACTGCTTTGGTTGTACCCCATACATTTTGGTATGTTGTATTTCTGTTTTCATTTTTCTCAAGGTATTCTTTTATTTCTTCATTGATGCATTGGTTTAGTAGCATGCTATTTAATCTCCCCATACTAGTGAATTTTCCAGTTTTCTTCTTGTAATTGATTTCTAGATTCCTTCCATTGTGGTTGAAAAAGATGCATGCTATGATTTCAGTCTTCTTTATTAAGACCTGTTTTGTGGCTTAACATATGAGCTGTCCTGGAGAATGTTCCATGTGCACTTGGGAAGAATGTATATTCTCCTGCTTTTGGATGGAATGTTCTGTCGATGTCTGTTAGGTCCATATGGTCTAACATGTCATTTAAGGCTGATGTTTCCTTATTGGTTTTCTGCCTGGATGATCTAGGTGGTGATGTGAGGTGTTAAAGTACTCTAGTATTATACTGCTATTTCTCCCTATATGTCTGTTAATATTTGCTTTATAAGTTCAGGTGCTCCTATGTTGGCTGTATAAATATTTTAAAACGCTGTATCCTCTTGCTGGGTTGGCCCCTTTATCATTACGTAACACTCTTCTTAGTTTCTTATTACAGTTTTTGTTTTAAAGTATGTTTTTGTCCAACGTAAGCATAGCTGCTCCAGCTTTCTTTTGGTTTTCATTTGTATGGAGTATGTTTTTCCATTCCTTCACTTTCAGTCTGTTTGTGTCTTTGCATCTGAAATGTGTCTCTTCTAGAGGCAGCATATATATAGATGGGTCTTGTTTTTTTATCCATTCAACCATTTGATACTTTTTTGCTGGAGAATTTATCTTATTTACAGTTAACTAATTATTGATCGGTATGTACCTATTGGCATTTTGTTAATGTTTTCTGTTTTGTAGTTCCTCTGTGTTCCTTATTCTTTTGCTCTCTTCCTTTGTGATTTGATGACTTTCCTTGCTGGTATGCTCTGATTGCTTTATTATCTTTTGTGTGTCTAGTATAGGTTTTTGCCTTGCAGTTACCATGAGGCTTACATATTACAACTTCTAACAGTCCGTTTTAAGTTGGTAACAATGTAAGGTTGGATGCATTCTAAAGCTCTACATTTTAACTCTTCACCCACATGTTCTGCTTTTGATGTTACATTTAACATCTTTTAATCTTGTGTATTCCTTAACTAATTATTGTAGTTATATTTTGGGGGCTCCACATGAGCATGTAAGTTCCTTTCAAGGAGATGCCAGCGTGCTGCAGCGACAGCACAAAGATGGCATCCGGCAGCATACATTTCCTCAGAGCACTTTCCTAAGTCTCTAGATGTATGCCAAACTTGAAGCCTGCCATGCAGGCCTGAAGCTCCAGGACAATGCAATAGGTCTCTTTCACAGATAGACTGTGGATGTGTTTTAGCCTGATGTCTGTGCAGGGCCCTGGGGGTGGTAGCCTGCCAAAAACTCTCTCTTTAACTGTTACAGTCCTGTGGGACCCAGAAATACAAGCCTCATGTCCACCAGAGCTAGGAGATCAAGGGAGTATTCCCTCAGTGGCAGCTGTAAAAACCAGGGCACGAGTTATATGTAAAACCTCCCCTCTGAGAGAGACTGCTGCTCTGGAGCATGGCACAGAGCCTACTCTCCAAGGTTTCTGGAGAAGTTTACAGTCAGCCCTTACATGTGTGTTTAATTAGAAGCCTGCCCCTTAGGCAGTAACTAGGATGATAAGCTTAGGGGTCTGTGACAAAGACTGAGCATCTGAGTCTGTTACCTCTAGCTATGTCCTCAGGGTCGTTGATGTTTAAAAACTTTTTTTTTTTTTCTTTTTTTGGTTACAGTCCTGTGGGACCTGTAAGCATAATCACATTGGCCACCAGAGCCAGGTGATACACAGGTGTTCCTCAGCAGCAGCTACAAAAGTCAGGGGTGTCAAACAAGGATAGAAGCTCCTTACTGGGAGATATTTATAAGCTATAGTGTGGCAAAGAGTGCAAAGACTGCATCTAGTGGACGGTTCCCTGAGAACTCTATAAACTCTTGTAAGTGTGCCAGACCAGAGGGTTGACCAGCTCTTCTATAAGCAAATAGGCTTGTTTCTCAGAAAGACTGGGGGTGTCTTACAGCTACTGTCTGTACAGTGTCCTGGGGATGGTAGTCTGCCAAGAACGGTCTGAGTGTTAGAGTCCCATGCAACTCAGGAATGGAAGCCACCCTGGACTACTGAGCCCAGCAATCAAGGGGTGTCCCCTTGCCAGCAGCCACAAAAACCAAGGCACCAGATGTGTGTAAAAGCTCCACTCCAGGAAATGTTGGTGCTCTGAAGCATGGCAGAGGGAGAGCATGAAGCTGGTGCTTGCCAGTTGGAGGGTAAAAATGGCACCCACCGGCTTTACAAGGCAGATAGAGAGTGCAGAGTAGCCCAGCAGGCCCCAGCCCCACCAGCTGAAGCTTTAAGGTTATATGAAAGAGATTCATTTGCTAAAGTCTGGATGCTTTTCTAATGGTTGCTTCTATGCTGCACCCTGGGGCAAGTGAGTATGTACATGAGCCCATTGAGCCATTTCTCAGTTCACAACAGCTCTTTATGTCATGATTTTCAAGGCCAGATGTGTTGGGGGCTCATCTCTCAGTTGTAGGACTTAAAAGCTGGGGTGCCTGATACAGGGTATAACCCGCTGCTCTTCAGAGAGAAGCTCCATGTTTGTGAGTTACGTTGTAATTGTGGGTTGCCTTGCTGGGGTAGGATTTATAATGAGATTTTGTCTCAGCCTCTCCTACCCACTTCCCTTGGCCTTTCTCTTGTTACCCTGATGTGAAGAAGTCACTCAGCTAGTTTTCAGGTCTTTCTCAGAGGGAACTAAGTGTTCCATATGTAGCTGTAGATTTGGTGTGATCATGGGAAGGGGTGAGTTCAAGATCTTCCTACATTGCCCTATCGAGCCACCTCTTAGATGTAAAACCAGACATAAAACTGGGGCACCATACACATGTAAAAGCTTCCCTCGGGGAGATACCCTTTGTGGAGTGTGGCAAAAGGAGAGTGTGGAGATAAGCATCCACCAGCTGGAGCAAGGCAGAAGGAAAGTGCAAAGATGGCACCCCCAGTCTCTGGCTCGAGAGCACCCCAGCAGACCCTTGAATGTTTGTCTAACCAGATGCCCACCCCTCGGGCTGATGCTCCAAGACAAGCAAATGAGGCTCTCCCAAAGTCCAGGTACCCCTCAATTAACTGCTTCCATGTTGGGCTCTGGGGTGACTCCAAGCATGCAAGTCCTTTAAGAACCATTTCTCAGATCACTGTAGCCTGTGGGTCCCGTGGACATGAGCTCCATTGGTTTTCAAAGGTAGATATTTTGGAGAGTCGTCTCATAGGTGCACATGTTAAAAGCTGGGGGTGCCTGATGTGGGTGGGGCTCAAACCCTTCACTCCTTAAGGAGAAGCTACAGCTTTTGAGTTCCCTCCTGACCATGGGTTGCCACACTGCAGCTTTTGAGTTCCCTCCTGACCATGGGTTGCCACACTGAGGGTAAGGTTTATGAGGAGTTTATGTCCCAGCCTCTCCTACCTGCTTCATAGTGGGCCTTAGCTCAGCACCCCATATGTGGGAGGAGAGTTCAGGATCCTCTTGTATCACCATCTTTAAAGCTGTTTATTTTTTTTTAAAAAAGCTGGCGGTAAAACTTTCACATTTCAGGTCATTTAAAAGGAAAAAAAAAAAAACAAGGATAGCTGTCTTCTAAACATTTAGTTTGCATAACATTAACAACTCCCCACTCCAAAAAACAGTAAGGTTTATCTTTTGAAAAAGGGAAAACCAGTAAATCAGACTTTTTGCCTTGAAAAGTTTTACTATAGATGAAATACTAAAGCAAGGCTTCTAAGTAATATGACACTGAGTGGCAAAGCAAGATACAGCATTGTACATCCTTGCCAGGTGCCTTTTGTTTCCCAAATAAAAAGCCTTTCCTGCTGGGAGGAAGCCACTAAAGTAAAAAGAAAAACCAGAGCTGCCTTGATTTGGGATGGAGGGAGGAAGGGAACAAAGGAAAGGAGAGAAAAACAGGAATGGGGGAGAGGGAGGGTGGGAGGGAGAAAACAGGGTGTACTGGTTCATTCAGTGGAGACTGAAGAGCAGCTTAGTCTAGATCTTCAAATCACTGTAACATATGGAAATATACGTGATTTTTCTAATTCCTAACTGGAGATTTCAATAATGTTTTATCTATGACTTTTTCAGGCATCAATAAATTTACAAAAAAGCTTCGGAGTCCATATGCAATTGATAACAATGAACTACTTGACTTCCTTTCCAGAGTCCCTTCAGATGTACAAGTGGTATGTAGGTTTCACTATTACTGCTCTTTACCGTATGATGGCATTGGGTTTTCACTTTTCATCCTTTTAATTTCAAAGGTTTTAGAAGAACCACTTAAAGTTAAAAGGCCTATAGCAGATTTTCCCTTTCAGGAATTTAGCCCACTTGGGGTGTTACCCAAGAAGAACTTTTATAAAGCATGGGGAATGGAGAACAAGAGAGGGTTGCATCAAGAACCTACCAGGGCTCATAGGGGCAATTTTCCTCCAAGGAAGGTTCACCTGGTTTGTGAAGGGAAGTCACCATTACCTGAAGGGAGGAAACAGGAATATAGATGCTGAAAGCAAGCTGTGCCAGTGAACATTTGAAAAACACTTCTTTGCATAATTTACAGGAATTGAGTTTTAAAAATGCGTATTTTGGAGACCAGTGGGGGGAAGGGGTGGAGAGTACCTGCCTTTTCAAGACTGGGGCACATCTCAATCCTTTAAAATTCTTTGAGGTTAACTCATGCCCCTTAATCATCAATTATTTTCAGAATAAATGAGAAATGTTTTTTTTTTTTT